CCGGGCGGGGGCCCCCGCCTCCCGATCCCCGAGCGGCTGCCGATGACCAGGGGCAGCTCCAGGATGATCTTCTTGGAGCCCGGCACGCTCACGTAGATCTGCCGCACAGAGCCCAGCCGTGAGCCTCGGCCCAAGGCGACGGCAGCCCGAGCTCCCCGCCGAGCGCGGCCGCGGCACAACCGCTCACCTGCAGGAAATACTCCACGCGCAGGATGTTGCAGCCCAAGATCGACGGCTTCAGCTTCTTCACGCGGATGGTTTTGCCCCGCCACGACTCCGACATGCCCGAGATGATGTGGTTGCCTCGCACGCACGACAGCTTCTGCGTGAGCACCTTGGTCTGCCCGTTGGCCAGGTACGTGTGCTTGGCCACGATGGCCGCCTTGGGCACCACGATGCGCGAGCAGGTGTTCTCGAAGTCGGCGTTGATGCAGATCTCGTCACCTGGGGAAGCAACGGCCTTTTCCATCAGGGGCTCCGGGGCCTTCCCTGCACCGGGCTGCCTGGGCCGGCCCGGCGGCTGCTCCAACGGGCCCTCACGCTGCCCCTTTGCTCCTCTCTGCTTGGCCCATCGCCCCTCGGTCTCCTCCAGCCCTTCCCCAAGAGCTGGGCACAGCCTCTTACCTTCACAAAAGCCTTTTCTGTCGATCTGAGCACTGACTGACACGTGCCCATCGGGAATGAACATACACGACACCTTCTTCTCCTTCTTGGCAGCAACTGGAGACTGAAGACACAACATCATCGTTATCCACACGGAACCTGCCTGCTGCTCCCAGACACTTCCTCCCTTCCCGCCTGGGCTGGACTTTGCCTCCCTCTCTTTTATGATTCACCTTCCTCAAATTCACACTGCCCCTCCCCACCAGCGCTAAGGGCCTTTGCTAGCTGAGTGCACACTCAGCTCCTCGCTTCTACCTGGCTCCACGGAGCCTTCTGGACGCTTCTTAACAACAGTTTAAGCTCTGCTGAGCACTAAAGCCTCTTAGGGGGAGTCTGACCACAAAGGTCACCCTGACCCTACCTGGGCACCCCGCAGCCCCCTTGGCGCTGACACCCAGCCCTCCCCGAGGCAGGGGGACCCCTGGCACCTACCAGTAATTCCGGCGTGTTCACGTCCACGGGATCCATCACCTCGAAGCGCTGCTTGGTCTCCAGCGGCGGAAAGGACGGCCGCTCCAGGAAAGCCTTCACCCAGTAATCCACAGAGCCGTACTTCCCCTTGAACGTGGTGCCCAGGGGCCTGGAACAGACACGCTCGTTAGACACATCCCGCACAATAAGACACTTTTCCATGAGAATTTAAAGGGAGGCTTTTATTGGGCAACCTCTGCCTAGTACCTACCCTTGGGGCAGCTCGAATCCAAATTTGTATTCATATTTGTTTCCAGGTCTCAGGATAACAGAGCCATCCCCATCTGAGAAAAGGAAAGAGAAAGGAATATCCATTAGAGGAAGTCCAGCACGACCCACGCTCCGCTCGCACGGGTTGCAGTTAAGGGCTGCAGGTGTCGGGAGCTCTCCTAGCTGTTTGGCAAGAGCTTCCCACACCTGTCCCTTAAGGAGAGCCTGAGAACCTGCTGTCCTCTTAAGGCAAGGCAATGCTGCTAAGCTGCACTTTCACTTCTGCTTTCAACATCCCCATTTGGAGCTCGTCCTGTCCGGATCTGCGACTGCTCCCAGTCTGCTCCCACACCCCTCTGCCCCTTCCTGCAAGGGCCCCCGGCTGCCCAAACCACCCGTTCGTCCACGGGCCTTCACGTCCCCCCACTCATCCCCCCAGACCCTCTGCCAAGCGCCCTCTGCCCCCCAGCAGCACGGGAAGGGCCATGGGGACAGGGACGGGACGGAGCCTCTTCTCCTCATCCGGATCCCACCCTTCCAGGCTCTGTGTTTCCCCCTCGCGCTCCAGGGAGGCCCCGAGCTCTCCAGCTCTGCCCTGCAGCCCCATCCTGCCCTTCGCCCACATCCAAGCCTTCCAGCAGCCCATTAGCCAACGTTCCCACTTAGCCAGGGCTCAGGCCCCTTTTCCTCCCACCAACAGACCCAGGAACTCTCCCCAGCACCCGGATACAACCAGGACACCCGGCCACCTCCGAGCCCTCTCCCGGCCCCTTCCCAGCCCCGCACGCTCACCCGTGGGCTGCTCCTCCAGGGCCAGCACGTCCTCGAAGCGCAGGTACTCCATCTCCTGCCTGCACTGCTGCGGGCCCTTGGCCCAGTTCACCTTGGCCACGCCGCACGCCAGCACCTTCACGGCGCTCACGCGGGTCACCTCGCACACCTCCACCACCACGCGCCCCGACACCTTCTCCCCGCTGCAGTAAACCTTCTCGGGCTCGCTCAACGCCACCAAGAAGCTCTTCACTTTCTTGAACATCACCATGGCTAACGCGAGGCTGGACGGAGGCTCTTGCGGAGGCACCAGGAGCTGCGCTGGGCAGTTGCGCCGCGTCTTTTCCCCTCAGCGGCAACGATGGAGGGGAAAAAACAGCTCGCAAAGGCCGCTTTTCAGTCACAAGCGGCACCAAAGCGCGAT